AATTTAGTTTACAGTTAATCATAATTCCCAACATGTTCAGCTAATTGTCTTCATCATCAAGTCTCATGTTCAAAGATAACATTTGAAAACGTAAACTCATAACTCCCTGAATGAGAAAATTGCAATTAACTTAAATCACGCAATTAGAGTCACAATCAGTCAATGTAAGAGGACGATGATGATGATGATTATGAAAATGATAGAAATTCATCAAAATCTTTTAGGTGAAAGATTCAGAATTCATCAAATTTCAATTGTTATCGTAAACTATTTGCTAGTTTTGTCTGAGTAAACATAGAAAATCAATTTCAAGTTTACCTTTTAAACTTATTGATATTCAATCAAATTGATTATGATGATAATTTTGTCTCTGTTTATGATTTAATGATAATATTTAATTGATAAGTTGATTATATGTTTTTGTTTATATTTTTCAGCATCAAGGTAAAGTAATTATTATAATAGTTGTCATGATTATGAATCAAGTGTGTGTACATGATTGGGATTAGTATCGCGTGTTAATTGTGAATAGGTTGAGTTTCGGGTGTGGTTGATCACTGGTTAGTGTGGGTTAGTCAATCAGAGAGTGAGTTAGTGAGTGAGTAAGTGATAGAGAAGCAAAGAAATGATTACCTGTGTAAGAAAAAAAAACCAAATGATTGGTTGGATAGACAAGGTAACACTAGAGTTGAAAATATCAACTTGGACTCAACATGCAAGTTGAAACAAAATATTACTATCATGTTATTGATATATGAATATATTGGGGTGGGTAAGATTCGGGGTGGGGTGGGATTGATGATGAAAAATTGGTCCAACCAACACGATCTATGGATAGGGTTGACTAATTTTGCAAACAATTATCAGTTATTATTTAGAAGATGAATTATATTTGTTTTTATTGTTATTGATTTGATCATTTTGTTGTTTTTCACTCATGATGATGGGTGAGTGAGTGGGTGTAGGTGGGTGGCTGAGTGTTGGGAGGTGAGTTTTGTCTAGTATTATTATACTGTAGTGACACTTATCACGTAATCGAGTGAGTATCTTTGTTTTTGTTTTGATACTTTCATGATTGTTTTGCTAAATGAATGAAGTTACTGTTTATTATTATCATCCAATTGTTGGATAATAATAATAACGGTAAATTTATCTTCATCATCGATTCAGCAAATAAAATGATGAATTTATCATGATGATGATAAAATTATTGGATTTACAATTTCATATTAGATTTTATTATTAATCATCTAACTTTTTGTTTACCCTTGAATTAGTATCAATTTATATTCTCAACAATTAAGAGATTGTTGTTTAATCTTATGATTATCATCAATTAATCAATGAGTTTAATTTTTCACGTTTTTTTCTGCTTGATTAAAGTTTTCTCACTCTCTCTCTCTCTATGTGACATTGATTAACTGATTGGAAACAATTCGTTTAATTGTTGGATTGTATTCTTGTTACTTTTGACCAGGTAACAATTAGATTAATAGTCATGATTAATTTGGCGATTGAATTGATTTCTAATATTTCAGTTTTTTTGTCTCTTCTACTCGTTCATGTTCATTGAAACGGAAAAATATAATTTGATTGTGATCAATGATTCTGGATATGATTAAGATGATGATGATTATCATTTTGATTACAATTGTATCACTAAGATTAATCATCACAATCACACACACACACATATTCAGTACAATCCTAAACATAACTATCATCATAATCAACAGGATCAATGATTTATCAATGAAATAAGATGAAGGATTGATTAGGATGAAAAAAATGACATGAAATGAAAAATTAACAGAGACAATCAAATAATCACAATTAGGGATGTTGATGTTGATGATTAAGGGTGAGGATTATTATCTGACCTACAGGATCATCATTTTTATCACAATTTAGTCTATTGATTGTTAATATTATCATCATGATAATCGTTATATAATTAAGATGGAACCAGAAAATTCTGGGAGTAAGATTAACACCTTTTATCATGTTGAGTATTGGGTGGAGATGATGATAATAATAATGATGATGGAAACTAAATTGTTACCTTAATTGTGCCTCTTGATAAAATCAACAATTTAAATCCATGATCCTAATCTTAATGCTGTTTGTTTTTTAATCAGCTACATCTAATCACGTAATCAACAGACCAACACATCAATAAACAACAATCAATCAATCAATAATGATGATGGTGATGATTAAATATTTTTCTCTATGGAAACAGGAAAAGGAAATGCAAAGAGAGAGAGAGAGAGATGGAAAAAGTTCTGATTATTTGTTTCCCTCTCTCTTTTTTTTAATAACTTCAACTTGTAATTACAAAGAGTACGAGATGAAGTTAATTGTGATTATAATTGTGTCATCTCATGTTAATTAATATTATTGATTGTTTAGATTCATTTGAAATGAACAATTTTTCATCTTCTCTTGATTTTCATTTCTTTTTTCATCATCTAATTTGATTGTTGCCCTTGGGCGATATTCAACTTTTCCTTGTTATCGTTTATGAATTTCAATGTTATTCAGATATGAAAATTTAATGGTGATGATGATGAGCTGATGAGATGAAAGTTGAAAAGCTATTTATTCATGGAAATAGTAAATTATAATGTATTTAATCATTGGAATTCATTATTATTTGAAATAATTTGAATCTAATGATCATCATGATGACATTTTCTCATTTGAATCATTAAACTTTAATCTACAGCCATTGGAATAGTAAATTGATATTGTCAATCAATTGAGAAAATGTTTATTGATTTAATTGTTGAATTGTTTTCGAGGAAAATAAATGTAATTTCAATGAATGAATCACAATTTGGTATTGATGAGAAAAGAGGAAAGATAAAATTGAAAGATTCTGCTGATGATGTTGATGATTAAGAGATGATGAAGGTGATGAAGGCTTGAATTGATGATAATGATGATGATGAGGATGAAAAAGGCAATTGGTAATTGTGAAAATGTCATATACTAAATAAAAGGGAGCTCGAAATTGTAATGAAAAAGGAGGTGGAGTTATTGTAACTTTTGGGGGAGGTAGAAGTTGATGATGATGAGAGGAGGGGGTGAGGTGATGGAGATGATGATGATGATGATGATGAGTGAGCTGCTAATAGGGAAATGATAAAGATGGAAAATGGATGAAACAAGATGAAGAAGTAAAATTAACCATGAAAAAGGAGAAAAAAATAAAAGAAGATGAAGAAAAGAGAGTAAAAGGTAGAAAGGGAAATGAGTTTCACTGGAATAATTAGCCTGAGGGGTGGTTAAAGATCAGTGTGTGTATGAGAGAGAGAGAGAGAGAGAAAGAAAGACAAATAAATAAAGGATGATGATGATGAAGCAGCGAAGAGAAAATAGAAGTAAAAAGTATTTGCAAGAACAATAAAAGGGAGGAGCAAAAAGAGAAGATGATGATGTATAAATACTCTATCATCATCTTTGTCTTCTCCCTCATCATCCTCATCAGCGAGTGAGTTATGCAAAAATAAGAGGAAAAGTATAATCAAGAAAAATATATTACCAAATGAAAGACAATTGTTAATACAATAAAAGGGTGAAGATGATAAACTGAGGATGAAGAGAGGGAGAAAGAGAAAGAAAGAGAGGGAGCCATCACCATTGTCTTCCTCATCTTTTTCCTAATCATCATCACGGTGATGAGGAGTAAACAAAGTGGGGAGCGAGAAGATAAAATTGAAATGGGTTACTGTTATCATCTCCATCTTCATTTTCATCATTATATTATTGGAATTAAACTTTTGCGCATGTTGATTGTGATTAAAATTATTCTGAATAATGATAATGATGATGATGAAAAAGAATATAACAAAAAAGGGGAGAAGATGAAGATGAGAGAGAGAGAGAGAGAGAGAGAGAGAGAGAGAGAGAGAGAGAGAGAGATGCAATTTTTCTGGTAAACAAAAATGATTCTGGTAAACACGATGAGAGAAAATGGGTTTAATGAGAAGATGATAAAAGAGAAAAATAAAAATTCGATAATAATTAATATAAACATCATTTCCTCTTCTCATCATCTTCCCCTCATCATCTAACATCTCCTCCTCCTCCTCTTCTTTTTCATCCTCATCTTCATTTAACATGAGATTTTATAAATGATAATTAACAAGATATATTCATACATATAAATCTAATGGTAAACTTTTCATTTGAGTTTGTAGTTTTGGAAATTCAACTTTCTTGATTGACCTTGAAAGATGATGAGGATGATGATAAATTGAATATGAAGAAGCATGAAAAAAAGGATGAGGCCAAGGTGGGAGTTAACAATCTGATAACTGTATCAGTTGCGTGATAAATGAATACAAAGATATTAGGCTGAGCTTTAATTCAGATAAACAAAAGCCACAGGGAGTTGAATATATAATATACATTTATCGAAATCGAGAATCAAATTTGGAGAGAGAGAGAGAAACTTTTCTTTCTTCCTTTTCGACTTTTGTTCGAAAACCTCGAATTCTAATCGTACTTTTTTGACTGGAAAGACACGCGACTTAGATCATATTTAAATATACGAAGGAGATGAAGGGTTAGAAATTGTGATTGTCGAGCTACTCTCGATTTCCACCTCATCCTTGAAGAGAAAAAGTAATCTGATGATTTTTTTAATTCCTCTTTTCGAAATTGAATCAATTTTTTTTACTTCGAATTTGTTTTTTTCGTTCTATCATTTCTTTTTGCTTTATATAAGATTCTACAAAGTGGTTAACAAGAGGATACTGGTTGGTGGTGGAAAGTGGGATGATAATGATGGGATGAAAAGCAAATTAGATTCTCATCATGATGAGGATGCTACTCAAGTGGGAAGATTAATCTTCCTCATCTCTTTTTTTTTCATCAATCATTTAGTGTAGTTATTTTTTACTCGACCGAAAGATTAACATGATTTTCTGATTCTTGTTGTTATTTGACAGCTAATTGATAACAATTAAAGAGATTAATTAATCAACACTTACCCTTTGTTTACAGTTAGTTTTCAATCTTCAAGACGGCACTGGATTGACTTTCACTTTTTTTTGATGGATTTAGATGATTAAGTTTTTCTTTGATAATGTTTGTGGATTAAATTAGTGATAATTAACTTTAATCATTAACGGAGGTGTAAGTTTCTATTACAGGTTAAGATTTTCTGATGATCTGTTAGAAAATTAGATCAAAAATAGAAATGGATAATTAGTAAATAGTAAACAAGTTAATGATAGAATATAACAATTAAGAGAATGACAATTTAATCAAATTGAATTTAAGATGAACAAGTAATTAAGTGATAGAATAATAATAATAATAATAATAATAATATCAAACAGTCAGTAATACAACACTGACCGTTGAGTTAATAGTTACTATTATTATCAATGGGAAGTCCGTTTATCTGAATGAGTGATTTAAGTTACATTGATAATGGACTTTTTTTATATTTATTTCTTGCCAATTGTTGACCTTAAGTGACCTTAAGGGAGGATAAAGGAGAGGTCAAGGTGATGTTTGGGAGAGGAAAATGATGAAGCAAAGGTGATGATCATTGGGTGAAGATGATAAAGAGAGTGAGAGAGAAGATATAAAAATAATAACTTTCCAGGAAAAGTGTTACAAGGAGAAAGAGAGAGAGAGAGAGAGGAAAAGTTTCCAAATGGCCTTGACCATCGGTCATCTTGATACTTTCTAAATTCGGGATTTGTTGTTGTTGTTGTTGTTGTTTATTGTTGTTTTCTAAAGGTTAACAGATGGAAGGAAAATCTTTGTAACAAATGAGAAAGTGATTTGTATAAACAGAGTGAACCTTAAGGTGAAAGGTGAATGTTCACCAAGGTAAGAAAACTTTTTCTCTATTGGAAATTTTTCGCAAATTTTGGCGGGAAATATTCATTTGAATAAATATTCTAATCCTTATAAGGTTTAGTATTGTTTCAATTGATTCAATTTGTTTCCAATTGTTTGATTGATAATAATTTGCATTTAGATTGGTTGGAGGTGAAAATTAATTTTCTAACCAACAATTAAGCTAATTAATTGTTGACAATTAACTACTTTACATGAGGTCAAATTTAATAGCTTTTACTTTCTTTGATTGGTCAGTGACTTGGGATTTGTATTAATTAATTATCAACAAACTTGAAAATTGTAATGAAAATTGATTTTTTTTTTGTTCAACCAATTTAATTGTAATCAGTGTTTAAAATAAATTACCAACAATCAGAGTGTGTACATTATTGTATTAATCACTGGATATGAATAACAATACATTGTAAATGGAGATGAAGATGATTTTATCCTCACAGGAAAAAGGTAAATGGTAAGAGTTATACCTTTATAAAAGGAAAGGTAAAAATCATCTTGACATCATCAATGACTAATGAATGATAAAAATGACAGAAAACATGGAAACGGAAATGATTCCCTAATAAAAGCAACAGGTAAAAACAACAACAACAAACGGAAATTCAAATGTTACTATTATTATTTATCAAAGTAACGTTACAATTTCCGTTTTATACTAACTAAAGGTCATTGATGATCAACAATCAACAATTGTTACAATTGAATATCAATGAAGAAAAAGTCAAGATCAATTTGAGAACAAAAAAAAAGGAAAGTGTTCTAAATTTTATCGTTTACCGACAAAAACTGACCTGAACTGACCTTATTGTTACAATTTTCTGATGATTATGATTGTGATAAGTATTTTTTGGTCAACTGTCTATTGACCAGAAAGTGACCACAATCAGAGCATTGGTTTTTCATCAAACTATTCAAAATGTTATTGATTGTTGTTATTTCCTCTGATTCCCTCATTCAGATCAAATTGTAAATTGTTAACTTTCAATTGAAAATAAAAGCAAATCAATTCCAATCATCAGCAATCAATATTTGATCATCAATATAATTTGAATGAAAATTTTTCGCTCCAAATTTAAGTTGAACCACAATTAAGGTGTTGTTGTTTTCTTGGAGTGAAAAATAGATTATCATTGTTTGGATAAGATTTAACTTGATCCTCTTTTAGTTTCATCTCCATCCCAATCTTCATCTTCATCCTCATCCTCATCTTTTTTTGCTTCTCTTGATAAAGATAAACATTCAATTGTCATCCAAGTATCACGACAACAACAGCTCAAAATCTTACAGATGATGAATATGAGATTATATTAATCACTTTGCAAATCTGTTTATTATTACTGTTAATCATGTTGATTGTCATATACAATTGTAATGGTAAATTTTGCAAACGGCAATGATTAAAATGTAAATTTAATTACAAAAAAAAGGGGATCCCGGTAAATATAAATAAATTAGTTAACTCAGCAATCAAGTTGATTTCATTTTTGCCAAATATTCAAGTCTAATTGTTATAATTTAACTTCATGAGAGAGTAGGGAAAAGGTTTATTAGTTAATTGTGGTGCAAATTAATATAACTGTAAATTGCAAAACAGCAATAAATAATCAAAGGTTAATGATAGAGTATTGAAGTTGCTAAATTGCAAAAATAGACTACAGATGATGTAGATGATGATGGGAATGATGATAATCTTTCATAATCAAATAATGATTTGCACAAAAATTGTTTAGATCAATTTTTTTGCTTATTATTTTCATTTTGTTGGTTTGATTACATTGGTGTAGAAAAAAAAAGTTTTGTGTGAAATAATATTTGCAATTGCAAACAAACAGCAAAACCTTTAATATGCAACAATCAAATATTTGCAATGTGAACCATTGGACACACAAAGTGTTTCTGCAAAAGCATCAACACAACAACAGAGATGAATTAACAGAGGGGAAAAAAGATAAAACTGCCTGGAGGGTGAAAAAAAAGCGATGATAAGGAAGATGATAAAAGTAAAAAACATCAACAAAGAAGATGAGATGAAGAGAGAAAGAGAAAGATTCTTCTTACATAATAATAAGCTGATGGAAGAAGAAAAAATCATCCCAGATAAACACATAACAAAGAGAGAGAGAGAGAGAGAGAGAGAGAGAGAGATGAAAATGACAGCAAATGATGATGACAAAGATGATGGAGAAAAGTCCGAAGAGGGAAATCCAAAGATCATATTATGCAAGGAAAGACTTTGAATTTTTCTCGCCATCAACAACAACAACAAACCTTGACATGGGCACGTTATTTGACCCTAAGTCTTGTATTGTCCCTCTATTTTTGGTCATCTTACAGGTTCATCATCTCAGCCACATTGAGAATCATAATAATAACACAAAAAAAAACGTTATACATTTGGACACATATTACCTTCAACATCCCAAATTTCATCTTCATCTTCATCATCATCTTATTATTGTTTGTTATTTACATAATATGATATAACATTTGATGAATACTATATTTATATATCGAAATATATATTTAGTTTTTCTAGCATTGGAACAGCTGGAAGGGAAACTTTTCCCACAGAAGAAAATTGTTAATAGAATCTAAAATGTACGCGCGAATTTTTCCTCTCTCTCTCTCTCTCTCTTTCTTTCTCTCTCTCTCTCTCTCTCTCTCTCTTTCTATCCTCCTTTCATCTTTCAAATTCGTGCTGAGATGGATGATGATGGTGATGATGATGATGAGAGAGAATACAAATCAACAAAAGGGAGAAAGGAACAAACAAATATCATCATCATTATTAGTTAAAGGGATCGAACTGTTTTCTTTATTTCTCTCTCATCTCCTTATTACATAACAATCATCATTGTGTTTACCCTATTTTCGGCTCTCATTCAAATAATAAGCACTCCCGCCCTCCCCCTGGCCCCTCAAGGGGTCAACCTTGTGCGTATTAGTGTTTATATTTACATTTGAATCTAACTTTACACTCGATGACTTTTTTGCTTCATTTCCGTTTCTCATTATCCTCCTTATGCCTCCTTCCTTTGGTCAATTTTAATCTTACTATGATCATCTTTCACCATCACCACTGGTTAATCCATTAATCCACCAGATCAAGATTATCTAATCTCTTTCATCATCTTGATAATCAACAAAATTTAATCCTAATGATCTTATTGGCCAAATCATTTGAAAATGAAACATGTAAACTAATTGTAATCGCTCACTTTTAATTTTGTAATTATTCATCTTCATTGATGATGGTGATTAACTTTTAATTGTTGTGACTATTTACAATTACACTTTTTTTTATCATTAACTTTTCAACAAGATTCAATAAGGGAAATTGAAATGAAAAATTAATTAAAATGCCTCAGGTAATTAATGATTAATTCTGATGGAATCAAAATCATTGGTAAGTGAACAGAAATTCATCATGAATACATCATGAACTTCCATAGGGTTTTTCATTAAATTGATTAAACAAATTGTTCGCAATCAATTTTAATATTCATCTAATCAAAGTTTATCAGATAATCGCGATTATTAAACGTGCAACTTAAATGGGAAGATTACAATTAGTTGTGATTGGAAATTGATTATCGATCAATTATTTGGGCGGGAAAAAAGTTCTGAGTCTCGATGTTGATGTTTGGAGTAAGTTGAGTTCTCGATATTGAATCTATTGATCAACATGATGAAAGTTAAGTTTCAGGAGGAGATTGAAATTCAGTTTTGATAACATTCAATTTAGTAAAAGTTAATCAACATTGAGAAATTAAATTGTTCAAATTAAATGATTTTCAGTTTACATGAATTGGGAGGAGTAAATAAAATGAAAGGATCAAGATGATGATGTTTATCAACAACAACATCATCATCATCATCATCATCATCTTTATCATGATTTGATGAAAAAATTTTCAATTCTAATTGTGAGAATCAATGAAATCTAATCAAGTTGATTAACTTGCTATTCCAAATAGAGAATGAAAAAAATTGATCAATATTACGTTAAATTGCTCAGGTAAACATCAACAATCAACTTGATTAACAGTTGATTTTGTTTCTCTCATAATGAAACTTTTAACATCATTACAATCGGACATAAGGTATTAAACTACCCTGAGGCTATTTTCTTATCAACAATTTACTTTTTCTTCCCTATTATTATTAGGATATTTCGAGTCCAATGTTATTAATATTGACCAAGTTTCACAATGAAAATTAAAATCGAACAAAAAAAAGTTCGAATAGAAAGAAAATTCGAAGAAAAAAGAAGAGAGAGAGAAAAAAGAAAACGGTAA